CTCGGGGTCAGAGACAGTCCGTTGTTCCAACTCAATTTGCCAAAGTACGACATTGACATCGTCGTTGTTGATCCCGCCGAGCATGCTCGACTCGGGAACGACAAATACTTGCAATTGAACCCGGAACAACTGAGAGCAACGGATGAAGTCTTGGCCGAGGTCGCAGACCCAACTGGGCAGTGCTTCTTCATTGACGGTCCAGGGGGAAGCGGCAAAACCTTTGTCTACCAAACCATCTACCACATTCTATCCGGTATGGGCAAGAAGATTCTCTCGGTAGCGTGGACAGGTATTGCCGCCAACCTTTTGGAAGAAGGACTAACAGTCAGCACTGCCTTCCGGCTGTTGATCAAGACCAACAACAAGGAATCCAGCATGAAAAGGCAAAGCATTGAAGCACGAGCACTCGCTGAGATCGACCTGATCATCTGGGACGAAGCACCTATGGCACCGAAAGAAGCACTCGAAGCAGCTGATGCTCTTCTTAAAGACATTATGCAAAACGATGTGCCATTCGGTGGAAAGGTCATGGTACTTGGAGGAGATTTCCGACAGGTACTTCCCGTGGTCGATGGCGGTGGTCGTGCTGAAATGGTGTCTGCCTGCTTGAAGTCATCCCGGCTCTGGCCTCTATTTCGCAAGTTTGAGCTCACGACCAACATGAGGGTTCGGGATGCTGGCAACGATTGGAAGGACTATCTTCTCGCTCTGGGTAACGATCTACTCGACAAAGACGAAGAGGGATACCTCGAAGTACCCGAAGATCTCAGATGCGAGCAAGATTTGGCCGAAGCAGTCTTCCGACCAGCCTTCGATGAAGGAGTTGAACTTTCTGAAGTAGCTATCCTTACACCCAAGAACGAACAAGCTCTCGAGCTCAACAATAGAATCTTGGATATGCTACCCGGAGAAGTCAAAACCTTCAGAAGTGCTGACTCGGCCGAGACTACTGATCCAACCGATGCTGCCAACTTCAACGCAGAGCTTCTGAACAAAATGACACCATCTGGAATGCCTCCTCACCAGCTCCATCTAAAGGTGGGTTGCATCGTGATGCTTCTGCGAAACCTCAGCGTCAAGAAGGGTCTCTGCAACGGTACAAGGCTGATTGTCGAGCAAATCGGAGCCAGAATTCTCCTCTGCTCAATTGCCACGGGTAGCAGGAAAGGCAAAAAGGTGTTAATCCCCCGAATCGATTGCCTTTATGACAAAGCCACACTACCATTCGTGCTGAAGCGACGCCAATTTCCGGTTCGGCTGAGCTTCGCAATGACCATCAACAAAAGTCAAGGGCAATCATTCGAAAAGGTCGGCATTGCACTTCTTCACGAGGACATCTTTGCACACGGCCAGCTTTATGTCGCTCTCTCGAGAGCGCGGAGCCGCAAAGGTGTCTCGATAATGGCCAAGGACAACAAGATGAAGAACGTCGTCTACGAAGAAGTGCTCGAATAAAATTCTGAATCTTTTGTCATTGTTGATTTTTTTTGTTATTATTATTGTTATTGTTGTTGTTTTCGTTTGTTATTATTGTTGTTGTTTGTTGCTTTTTATATGATATTTCGCCGAATAAATATTTTAAACCCCTAATATGTGTCTCACTTTCTCAGCATTGGTTCTTTGCCATAATTATCTCTAAACTTTTTTTTGAATTGTATCTTTGAATCCATTTTTCAGCTTTATGTGACCGGCCTACGGCCGGCACATAAAATTCCGGTAGACTTTTGGAGAGGTCAGAGTCATGTTGACCTAGCAGTGGCCAGTGGAAAACTGCCGCGAAGCGGCTTTTTTCCACTGGTTTTATACTAACTTACGAGATAAAATCTATAATATACTTATTCCAGCCAATGCCTCCCATTTAAACCGATTACCAAATGCAAATAAATATACTGATCGCATACTGTAACTATCGGAATTATTTAGGTAATTAGATAACTTTTTAGTGGCTTACGCCAGTTAAATAACTAGTTAAATACTTTCCGTGGTTAAAGTGTTTGGCTTAAAAGCTTACGCCATGAAATTCAATATTTAATGCATACTTCAATATTCGCTTACAACATGAAATTGCCAGCTCAAAACTTACCAAACGTTTCGATAGCAACAGCGATTGCAATGGCGATGACCGTGTAGCCGGAGAAGAACATGTGGGCCGTCTGAAAAGAAATGTGTTTCGGAAAAATGACAATTGCTTAGGTTCAGCTATCGGACCAATCGGCCTAAGTCTTCGTTTCCTTCACTTCCACAGCTAGAATTCTCAGGACGTTATTCAAAAACATGTTAAAGTTCATCTGAGAAGAACCGTATTAAAAATTGTCGATACCTCCGAGGTGTTTCACCAAAAATATGATACTACAAAATTACGTTTCGTTAATCAATGTTGGGTATCTAAACCGTAAACCGTAAACCGTAAACCTACTTTATTTGTTTGGATTAAACCGCTGCTCTGAATGCTGGGTACTGGGCTGTTAGCGGGGGGCTTTTGCTGTTAATAATATACAGGCCCGTAGCGGAACCGAAATTTCGGGGGGCCCAAAATTTTGGCGACCTCCCCGGTCGCCACTTTTAAAATATCCGAAAATCGCGTCAATAATAGCGCCGCAGGCAAAAAAATAGCAAAAAAGTGTTTGCTACACTCTAATTCGTGTGAAAACACAGCAGAAAACGCGCCGCAGGCGAAAATTTGTATGAACAATTGATTCACAAATGAAAAACCAGCGCCCCAGGCAAAAAATTTTGAAAAAATAGGCTTCATATAAGTAAAAACTGTTTGAAAAACAGTAATAAACAGCTCCGCAGGCAGAAAAATTTTTGTAACTAAAAATCATAAGGGTCCCCCCTTATGAATTTTTCCGACCTCGACCGATTTCGGGGGGGGGGGGCCCAGGGCCCCCTGGGCCCCCCCCCCTCCTACGGGCCTGATAATATATAATACCTTTCTATCTTTTTGTAGTTTTTGAGGTAGTTTTTATTTCGCTAGTTACGAAATTTGGAAATTTTGGGGTTTTGTGTCATTTTGCTCGCATTTTGCACGAAAACAAAAAGGGTTTTTGCTTACATTTAAAATCCTTGGCTAAAAGGCCGGAAAAATGGTTTTTATTGCGCTATGGGACCGTACAGGATTACTGAATCGTTCCCATGCGACCAGCCCAGTGCCAAAAAAATTTAAAGAAAATGAAGTGATTCACCAAAAACCATGGGCTAAAAAAATTACGTATAGTTAGTTTCATATGTCCCAGATATTGGGTTAGACCGAAAATCCGTGCCATATTTTTCAGTGTTTTATAGTTTCGTTCCGGGAAAACGATTCGGAAAAAATGGTTTTAATGACTGACGTATGCACAATCAAATGCTCTATTCAACCCGTGGGAAGGAATCACAATCCATTTCCCTTAGAAACTTTTCAGTTGGATTTACTAGAAAATCGAAAAACGCTGCGGCGCGCTGTTCTCAAAACAGTTCCGATTTATCTTGTTGGAGATTTCAGCATCTAAATAGTAGCTAAAAAGTATTATCTTGCTGACGGTTCGTTGCTATGGTAAAGTTATGGTGATCCTAAAAAATGTCCGGGTCAAAAATTTGCGACGCCTCCTAGAGAACGCAAAAATAATAAAAACTACTAGGGCTTGTAAATATTGTAAATTTTATCCCACATATTATTAAACTCCGCGATGGGGGAAAAGAAACAGCGATATCGGACCACAAAATTTTAGAAAGAAATCTCTGAAGTTTGGTTGTACGAATTTATGGACGAAATTTCATACATTTTTGACCAAACAGTTCCAATTTTCGAAAATCTCTATAAATTTTTGGATGGCATTTATATCCAAAAACATTGTAAATTGCTATAAAAATGGATTATATTGCGTTATAGGACCGTATACAGGATTACTGGGAAAAAATGGTTCCCAGTACCAGTAACAAAAATTTTGCGAAAAAGGAAGTGTTTCACAAAAAATGATATACCACAAAAAATTTGACTGGTTCATTACAGACCCTGTCCACGTAGTCCACGAATTTACATAACTTTTGACCAACAGTTCAAATTTTTCAAATTGTGTATTATTTGTATGTTTTTTCTATGTAAAGCATGATAAAATGCGATGAAAGTGGTTTATATTGCGCTTTGGGTCCGTATAAGATTACTGGGGGGCAAAAAAATGGTACCTCTACAGCCCAGCCCAGTTTCACAAAAAATCATATACCACAAAAACTAACACTAAATAACACAAACGTTTCTGTCCATGTAGTCCACAGTTTTCATACAATTTTTGACCAAACACTTCCAATTTTCGAAAATCTCTATAAATTTCTAGATGGCTTTTATATCCAAAAAAATTTAAAAATGCCATAAAAATGGATTATATTGCGCTATGGGGCCGTGTATACATGAGTATCCGGAAAAACTGGTGCCCCGCAACCAGCCCGTACCAAAAATTTTTTGAAAAATTAAGTGTTTGACCAAAATGGATATGCTACAAAAATTATGTCTGTTTAATTGCGGGATCGAACGAACTGTCTAACAAAACAATGTAAAATGCTATGAAAGTGGTTTATTTCGCCTTAAAGCGCCGCAGTTACTGGGGAAAGAAAATGGCCCCACCGCTAACAGTTCAGTACAAAAATTAGTTTTAGTTACGAAAAATTTTTTAAATTTGAAAGATTTTAACTATTGTTGCTCATTTTTAATACATTTTTTGACCAAATTAAAACTGTTTTTTACATCTAAAAATATTGAAAGACCGGGAGTTTATGACGAGGAAAATATTGCGTTTTAGTAGTTTTTTTGTTTCTAAAAAGTCAGAAGGGAATATTTTAAATTATAAAAATTCTTGACGTTTAATTTTTCGGACGTTAATGACCAAAAATTAAAATTTATCAAAAATATTTTTACAGTTTTACCTAATAAAGTTTTTAGCTTTTTAAGCCTAAAAAGCAGTCGCGGAAATTAAAAATTTTATGTTTCACCAAAAATGATGTGCTGCAAAAAATAAGCTTTTTTAATCAGCCTGCGTCATCGGTAGGGTTAATTCAACCTAGTTTTGTGTTTATATTAATTGTATAACCTTCCTATTAATTTTGATTTATATTAAAATAAATACCCTACCTTTCTGCCGACGGCCGGGAAATTGTAGTCGGCGGCGGCTGAGATGACGTTCAGCAAATATCGGAAGGCTCCGATGAAGATTGTGTTGAAAAAGATGGAGCCTTCGAGATGCTCCATGTTGAACATGATACCGTAGTTGATGATCGAGACGGCGAAACTGCAAGTATATAGAATCATTAATGAAGCTATTGAAAATTAGTAGGAATTAAACAATGTTTTTCGACTTCAGAACTAAGGAAGATAATTTTGACGGTGTGAACTAACCCCATTAAAGGCCCGAAGCCCGCTCGCTAATTTAAAAAAAATTGAAACTTGTTTTTTATCGGATGTCTAATAATTTTGTGGATATAAATTTCAATATTATCCTAAATGTTAGAACAATTTTTCTACTTTTCACTTAATATTAATGACTTAATATACCGAATAAAGCCTTATTAATTTGTATAAGGCATTTTTAGTGCCTTGGTTTTTAACAAACATTTTTCTAAAAATTGATTGCTTTAAATAAGGCCGCTACCGGTAGCCCGTAAAAGTATTATTTTACTTTATTATTACTCTGTAATTTCCAAGAAACGGATTTTCAAACCATTGCGAGATCACATTAACACCGAGTAAAATTACTATAAAACAAAAAGATATGAAACGCATTTTTCGCAAGAAAGCTGTTACTTTCCTGGTTTCCTGGCCAATTTTTCTATTCTTATTAATAGATTAATAATTTTAATTGCCTATTTTTTTTATCTGAAAAACTTACTACGACAAAATCATCGTCAGCGAATAGCCGAGTAGGCGCCACGTGCAGAAGAGGTGGTGGAAGAAGTAGTGGCCCGTCGATTTGGTCTCCTGAAAAACCGAAAGTCAGCAGAAAATTTGTATAATTTAATAGACCCCCTTTACAGCAAATTAAATTGCATTGAAAATAAATAATCTACGATTCCTTCATTGAATGAATTGAAGTTAGAGAAAAGGTGTTTCAGTTAGTTTTGGAGTTTAATATTTTCTGGATGAATGGATGATGAATGAATTCCTATGCGTGGATCTATATCCTTACAAATGATACAATTCCCATGCTTCTTTAGATTCCGCTCAAAACCCTACTAGCCTTCCCATATATGTCGAATTAACTGTTTTTTTTCCGTTGAAGCGAGATAAAAGGCTAGCCATCCTAGAAAATAAATTCTCGATACTAACACTCGTAACACATTTTTCAAATATTCTTTTGTTGTTTTTTTTTGTGTCGTTCATTTAAGTAGGTGCTAAATAATGATGTATAAATACAAGCTAAACACCCACTCCCCAGTATGTTTTGCGCAACAACTTTCGAAAGGGGAATTTCTTAATCATTATTACGGCGTTGTTACAAGTAGACTATTCGGTATCTGGGGAGAAAACGCTAACATCAATATAATAATATTTTTTCCTAGCTTCTATTGCGAAACGTGATCGAAACATTTTTTTCGAAACTTATTTTCAGATTGGATTCTATCTTTTTCGGTTTCTCCCATCAGCTACCCATTTTTCGAAATTTTTGCTAAAAAAATTTTCTAGCCGAAACTTCAACTGAAAACTTTCAAAAATCCAGCTTTTTTAGAACATCGACATTTTGTATTTTGAGCAAAAATTGTAGTTTTTCGTTTAAGAATGGTAAAAAACACTTTAGAAACACTTCCTCTAGTTAGATTACAAAAATTTAATTTTAAGAAAAATGTTATGAACCTCTCCCCCCCCCGATAATGCAAAAGCACTAGTTAGAACTGAATAAAAAAATCCATGGTTTCTTCATAAAAATGCATGACTTTACGACAAACCTCATAATTCCTCTTTTCATGCTGCAACACCAACTGCAGCGCCTTATCGTCCAGCTCGTCGCCATTAATGCGGTGGATGCGTTTCATGGCCTTTTCCGCTTCTTCGACACGCCCCTTTCGCACCAGCCAGTAGATTGACTCCTCGCAGAACCTAAAATTTACGATGCTTTTTAATTGACTTTTTAGTTGATTATTTAAAAATAGTCTTCAGTTAATTACGTCATTTAATCACCGTGGATACAAGCCGAAAATTTGCACCCGAGACCGTTTGAACTGTTTACTACTAGCTCCGAAACCGCTTAATTTCTATAGCCGGAAATGCAACATTTTCTTTCTAAAAATTTCTGGATTCTTATAAAATACGTTCATCGTCTTATTTTTCGCAATTCTTAGCGTTATTTTTGATTGGTAAAAATTGTATAGCATTCGAGAAAATTTGCAAAAATGAATTCGTAGGAGGATTCGGTGCGATTTAGCCGTTACAGAGACATTCTTATGTACTCGAAAGCGCAAATAGATAAGGATACTTGACTGTTTGATTCATAATTTAAAATCAACGATAAAATTATCGATTTATCGGCCGCATTTTCGAGTCCGACACTTTGTCTTTGACTAATTGTCAGATGGACAGAAGCGAAATTGTCGTAAAAAAAAATTTACGCTTCTTATAATTGCTCGAAACATGTTAACGCTATTATCCTGAGTTGCCAGAAAACCGTTAAACAATCACAAACAATACGGTAAAGATTGCTTAACGGGGGGGTGGAAACATACAGGGTGTCCCATAAAAAAGCACCCCTCCGGCATTTCGCCGTATTACATCCGATCGGTCCCAGATTTGGACTAGAGGTGTATCAGACCCTTAATAACCACAATCCTGAGTTATAGCCCGCCAGCTACAATAATTTTCGAGATACAACAAAAATAAATTTATTATCCGTTTTTCATAAGGTTTTCGTCGGAATCGACCATTCGAATATTAAGTGAAAATGAAGCGGCAAGCGTTCTTTACCCTTAGAAATTTTTTCCTGATCAAAATTCATCAAATAACCGTTGAATTCAACAATTTTTGTAACCCAAAGACACACCCGATATTAAGCGAAATTAGGGATTCGCAGCCGGAAGTCGATGCAAATCGATGCAAAGTCCAAAAAGATAGCCGAAAAAACTTTTAAAAGTCGCCTAGAAAACAGTATTTTGGCGATAACTCGAAAATTACTGTAGCGATCGGGCTATAGGTCAGGATTGTGGTTATTTATGGTCCGATACACCCTTGTGCAAAGTATGGGACCGGTTGGATGTAAGGCCGCGAAATGCCGGAGGGGTGCTTTTTTTTTTGGGACACCCTGTATAACGGTGTGGAAACAATGTTTATATTTATAAGAATATCCTGCTATTTTGAAAACGCCATCGGATAGAGCGTCGAAAATTATACTTAGTTATTTAATTTCTGGCCAAAAAACCTCATTTTTAACGATTTTTAATTGATTAAACTTTTTAGCCTAATCAAGTAATATTTTTTTAAATTGTGGTATTTCGGGCTGAAATTAAATCTCTTAGTATATTTTTTGACGCTCTATCCGATGGCATGCTTCATGGCACGACAGGTCCCTTTCGGGAAAAAATGGTTGCCACCCTCATTATTTGTTCCCCCCCCCCGTTAAGCAACCTATACCGTGAAAAAAAGAAATTATCTAAGAAAACCAATTGCTTTCGATGGAGTTCCCCCAAACATTTTTATGCTATTGATCGACTAGAAGCGCTCTAAGAATGGGACTCAAGATGAGAACAATAAAAAATACTTTCAAACGCGATTTTTTATATAGCCATATGTGAAACAGTTTTTCAGGAATCGCCGCATAACGATGAAGTATAAATAATTAGAAAGTAACCATGAATAAGAAAAATAAAAAAGTCATCAATGTGAGGGAAACACTACATCAAAAAGAAAATTTTAAAACTATATGAATGACCTTAATTTTTGTTTACACTCTTGCATTTAAAGAGTGTTTCGTTTCACTCTGATTTTTGCATCATCTTTTCAGATGAGAAATTATGTGGTAACACCATTAGCTTTCCTTTGCATTCTCTGAAACATTTTTTGCAGACGCGAAGTTGCTATCGGCGTTTTTGGGCGTGTACGGTAACAGGAACCAAAATTATACGAATACTCACCATAAAAGTACAGTAGCGACAAAGGCCAATGTGTTGAGTGCTCGCGAGAAGGTGCGCCAATCCTAAAAAGGGTAATTGTGGATGGGTTATGAGTAGCTAATCAGATAAATTAACCACCAACGTAAATTCTGAGTTTTCCTGCTGCTCGAAACACTTTTTGTGGATCCGTTGGCTATGTAGATTCACGGTGGCGATACGAAATATTTTTGAACAAACCTAGTAGATCGGGGCCTTAAAATGTAAAGCTATTTCTGAATACTTTCCCGAAATTCTATGGCACTTTTAAACCTGGAAATTCCGGTTTGTATTCTCCCGATTTCCGGTGTAAAATCTTTAAAAATGCAGCAAAAACTGAAGATGAAGATTTGCTTGGAATTTCTTATATTTCGAAAATAGAAAGTTGATGAGGGCGTCCTCGCCGGATTAACGAATGTAACAGGACGATTATTGAAATTATTTTGAAACACTTATTTTAGCGAAATAACATAGTTTGTTCATTCTGTATTCATTTTACTACCTAAAGTGAGGTGAACCTTTTAGAATATGCTGCAAGTCATTTCAAAGATGAGGCCAAAATTCGCAATTAAAAAATGACGAGATGTTGAGATTTTTTGAAGCATTTATTTTGTTGCAGCCACTCCTCTACTATATTTTATTGTTATTAGCTTATGCGAGGCGAGCATTTTGCTATAAGCTACAGCCCGTAAATCACTGGAAAATCCAGCTAGAACAATGCCAAAGCTGCTAATGCGTCCTTCAAATTAATATGTTTCCACCAAAGACCAGTTGAGCAATTTTCAACGATAGTGAATGTGCTTATGTGCTAGACATACCTGTGAATAATAGGCGATAATCGAGGCGAACATGAGGTTCGGCGACCACGAGAAGACAAAGTTCAGCCACATACGGTGGTGCCGCGGGAACTTTTCGCACATGTACACCATTACGATTCTGAAAATCAGGGGGTTTGGATGGGCGAAAAAACAATTAAAATATCATCAGAGGCACGGTTCAATCTGCTAGAAGTTTGCACCAGAAGAAGTTGTTCAAAACCTATGCAAAAGGATGTTTCGGAACCATTGTAAAATAATTCGGGGGACTCCGGGCCATTTTTTTCTCTACTGAAATCCATCCCACCTATTTTTGTACAATTTCTTGGCGCGCAGCGCGCTGCAGCAATTCCTTAGGAAGCTATGTTGAAAATCACCTTTTAAGACCGCTCGTTTTTAAAGATGCTTGTAACCCGGAGAATCTACCATTTCCGCCACCTGGGACTCGACAACCAGATTTAAGCTCGTGTCATATTATTGTCACGTCAAAATTCGTTTTTTTTTGTGAAAATATGTTCCGTTTTCTAGGACGTAATTCTGCGTTGGCAGTAACACTATTATCGAGTCCAAAATCGTTGAATGGAAAGGTATCTTACAAGGAGTCGTTTTTGGGTGATATTGGAGTTTTTGAACGAGACCTAGCTAGTTCGATAGAGAAAAAAATTCTGAACAAGATGTCGGTTTCCAAATCTGTGTACCGTACCGTCCTCAAACCGTGTATTGTATTCAATAAAAATTAATTTTAATGAAAAAATTCCTGGACGTCAGGCTGCGGCCCATGGGTCAGGTCCGGGACATAGCCCACAGCGCGAACCAGCATCCGCATGAGATCGTGGCCTAGTGGATAGTGCCGGCGCCTATCAAACTTTTGCAAAATTATGCCTAGGGTTCGGAACTTTTTGTGATTGTTTTGCTTTTTGGTTTTTCATGCCATTGAAATCGAATTTGGCATTATCGAGCAAAAAGCAAAAGAGTTTTACTAGCGAGGAGTCGAACCCGCTGGCAAAAAAGACAAAAACTTATCAAGCAAGCGCGCTACCAATAGGCCAGCAGGTCATGGCTGGAAGGAGGCCTAAAGGGGGCTATGTTGACGCGCACCCAGAGCGCAGAATCTGCGGATCAGGCGGAAAATTACGGTTAAATTAATGATTTTCAAATTAATTTTTAATGAACAGCGTACACGGTTAGCAGATTTGGAAAACGACAACTTGTTCAGAATTTTTTTCTCTATCGAACTAGCTAGGTCTCGTTCAAAAACTCCAATATCACCTAAAAACGTCTCTTTGTTAGAGATAACATCTATTTTACATCGCCCGGTTTTAGGCCGAGAGTGCAAGCAGGACTTATTTCAAATAATTGCCAATTTTTACAATTCTCTTCCAGGTTCTACACGGCAATACATAAAAACAAGTATTTTAAAGGGAAAATAATGTAATCTATATTTTAGAGCCAAGGCTGTTTTAAGGGTCTGGGAGGCAGAATTCAACCCCAATTGTGGCCTGGGTCTCGACAAATATTTCGTGAAATAGGACAAAAAGAGCCGTGTTTCGTAAAAATTATGTTTCATTTAAAGGTATGTTCCGCGCAGGGGGCGCATTCTCAATCGGGTTCAATTGGGATTTGCGAAATAAAAAGAAAGCATGTCAACGCTAGGGTGGCACCTAAAAAACGGTGATGTAAAGGGACTCGGCAGCGGAAAATAGAACCGTTTGAGCCTGGGTCTCGGCAGCTACGAGACGGGCCAAATGACAGGGGCACGTAGAGGAGAGCAAAAAAAAACTTCTGCGCAGTCGAAAAAAGAGGCCTAGGCGATCATCGCCGTCGAATTAACGTTTAAATTCCAAAAACGCAAAACAAAATATCCGTTTCGAAAATTTTATTGGCCGAATATCTTGCGGAAGCACAGTTTTCTGCATAGCTGTGGAAAAATGTTTCGTAAACTTACCATAAAAAATACAGCCCCATCGGTTTAATTTTTTTAAAAAAATCTTTTATTGCAACTATTACTCTTTTGCACCCGATTTCTGCAAAAATCTCCGCAAACATTTTATTTGGACTCGCCTTTTCCAGGGTTTTAAAAGCTTTTTATATCGATAAAAATTCCCAATTTTTGTTTTTAAATACTACCAAGCTTGGTAGATTTACTAAATCGTTAATAAGGGTTTTATAGATCCAAAAACACTTTAAAAACCCACACAATATGGCCGGTGTTGAAGAAGGAGAGCAGCGTGCGCCACAGCGTGAACATGTGCAGCGAGCCGGCGAAGCTCGACACCCAGCCAAGCACTCCCGTCATAGCCACGCAGACAAGCATCGGCTAAAATGTCATGATTAAAGGAAAATTAGACACCCCCCCCCGCTAACGAACCAGAACCGAATTGAACATTGAAAAATTCCTACCCATTTTCGGCCGAACGTGTCGGACACCTGGCCGAACACCAGCGCGCCGACCATGTATCTAAACGGAGACTTTTTTTGCGACGCGAAAGAAAAATGAATTATCTTTTCGCCGATATATTTATTAAGGAAATATTTTGAAACATCCAGAATTCAAAAAAGCCTAAAACAAACCCAATCATTTGGTAAGATGTGCTGTCCTTGATCCGCTTCCCCTCTCCGCACAGCTGGGCGAACTAAGAAAAAAAAGAATCTTACATCGGTTTACCAATGAATTCAACTCATATTAATCAGTGTTTAAATTTTGAAATTAACTATATTTTCAAAGTTTTTAAATTTTTACTTAATTAGAAAATTTACTGCATTTTTAAATTTCTTAAATTAGTTCCTATCAAAGTGGAATGAACTCTGCTAGTTTGCCCTAGTCATCGGCTGCATGTTTTACAGTTGGCGTTGAAAATTGATCCGATGACTTGGGATTAGACTTGTTTTCCCCCCGGGCACCCATATTTTTGATGAAACATGTTTTTTTAAACCTGTCACCGGAGCCATAAGTGTTTTCCGATTTTCCGGTGGGAATTCAGCTAAATATTTCCATATCAATTCTGATACACTTCGGTTTTGGATTAAGTTTTATCAAAAAAAAACGGAAACCGGCGAAAACTCAAGTTAATTTGCAAGGCCGGCAATTCTAGAATTCACCAAAAAGAAAAACTATTTCTTATTCCGTGCTCCCAGCAACATTTTTGTTTGAAACATCTTATTCGAAATGTTATGAATACTAAATTGAGAGTTTATTTCCTTTCAATTTACCTGTTTTTCTAGGATGTTAAGATGTTACGTTAGGAATATCAAAATCAAGGAAAACAACGACACTGAATTTTCTAATCTTGCCTTCTCGGCTATTATATTTCACGAAACATATCTTCTCCTAAAAAAAATTAGGCGACGGAAATATTGTAGTGCATACGCTTTTGCGCTATCATTTTGCTTTCTATTAATTATGTCGATATAAATAGAATTTTTATATTTCGAATTTTATAATTCAAATTTTATAATTTTATTTAGAAGATTTGGGACTTGCTTGCTTAATTTAAGCCTAATTTCCTGAATGACCGGTTTGGTTCAATTGGATTAAAATTTTCCGAGCTCAGCACCGGCGGGCATGAAACAGCTTTTGTACTAGAATTTAATTTTAATTGCTATTAATTTTATCTGCGCATTAATAGACGCTAACTCACTCCTGGTTTTGATTTTTACCTTTCAGTGCCCTTTAAAATACCGTAACCCAGTCTCACCTCAACATTCACCGACAGGAATTGATACTCGACGATCGGGTCGCAGGTTCCCTGATGATATAGATCGCACAAATGATGGGGATGGAGCCAGCCGGTGTCGTTTCGATTACGACATCCAATTAGGGTGGGCGGGGCACCTGGAATAGGATTAGTTGACTGAAAAAGGTTTGCCTGGAATAGAAAGCTTTGCCTGAAATTAAATGAATAGCCGTTGGTAAAAATTACGATGTGCAAAATTTCGGGTTTACTTAGTTTCGATGAAACTTTTAATTTTTACATGAATTCGGGTTTTTTTGGGAAATGTTTCATCTAATTGACTGTCGTCTGCTTAGCTTTTTCAAGCAATTGAAGCTGATGTTGTTATAGACCAAAGTAGTTTTTCCTGGCAACGTTTTAATAAGTTTTTAGTATGTTTTAAATTAAAATTTAACTAGATTTGACCTGGTAAGGTATGTAAAAAACGTCTTAATATTTTCAAAGTTAGGAATTCTGGTCGAAAATAGATATTTATATAGGGTGATACATTTTTAAGGTGTTTACGTTAGGAGTAGTAAGAAATAGGGCACTTTGCCTAAAACACCGAAATATTAATCCCTTAAAAGTGTGTTTGCCCTTACCAAGTTTTTACGAAACCTTTACGCGTTTTTGGCTATTTTGAGGACATGTTGCATCTAATTGAGGATAGTCTGTTGGTGTTTTTCATGTAATCAAGTTCGCTAAGAGATGGGACAAAATTTTTGATTTGAGTATAAGAAATATTCAATAAATTATAAGCTATTTTAATGGTTGCTAATGCTTTTGAGACCGGGATTTTATGGGTACCATCTATCACAAATTCAAAACAGCGAAATACTATCCGAAAAAGATGTTTCATCTACCCATTCATACGGCGGATATGAAGTAACTTGGTTTGCAAAATCCCTTTTGAATTAAGGTGGACAGCGAATAATTACTAAAACAGGCTTCAGATTTTCAAGGGATCGGCAAAACTAGGCTTTGTATTTTTGGGTCGTTTGCTTGGGTTGGTTTGGACACCGCGGCGCTCTTTGATCATGGAATTTCGACAATATGCTTTTAATCCTCGCCTTCGACTCAAAGCAACTTTTGCTAATTAGCGATATGATTTTCTGGATTTTTTACCAAACATTAAGTGTTTTCCTAGAGCAGGACTCAAACCCAATAAAATATTTTTCACTCCTGGCCCGCCTGAAGTTTTAGAAACATTTTTCGGGTTTATTTTGCACCGGGGCCAACAGGTGGGAAAACTTTTAACCCAAAACCATATGCAAATTTGCAGCAACAAAAGCTGACGGCTCTTTGAATAATTTGGCGAACGTGCCGAAAACAAAAGTGATGGGTTTGTTGGCATAATGCCAGCCACGAATTATCACGTTTTACGGGTAAAAAGGGGAAATATCATTCTTAAAAATAGTTTGAATAGATATTTTACGATTTAAAAACCATAATTTTTCCAAAATTTTAGCTTAATGAATTGATAGAGGGACAACTGTTAAATTTAGCAAGAGGCAATGATGGTGTATTAATAAAAACAAAATTGATTTGGTCAGATCAAAAAAGCGAAACACTGAAATTCAACTCACCCCCAAAAACCATGAACATCAGGTTGCCGGCCTGGAGGAGGACGATTAGCTGAAAAACAAGGCCGATTATTAATTTTTCAATAAAATTAGGCCGTTTTAGGCCTATAAAATAACATTGGGAAAGGGTGAAATATATAATATGGTTTTACTGAAGCAAAAGCTATGGAAAATCGATAGTTAGGAGCTGGTTTCGTATCTGATAAACGTTCCATTTCCTAGAAAATGTTTCAAGATAAATTAAGTGGTAAATTTTGAAAAAGAAATAGTGATTTTGGCTATTGATCGGTGAAAGAAAGAGTCAGATATATAATTTCCGGAAACCTAAGCAATAGCCATTAAAAATTGTTTTCAACTTTATCAAATTAAGTAACTGTTTACGTATTTTTATGACACATTTCCGAAAATTTTGCGTCGAAGAAATAAGCAATCTAATGCCCCAAATTTAGCTAGCCAAACTATCAAGGGTAGTTGAAACATCCATATTAAACCTCACCGCGTTCTACAATCAAATACTACAAACCATTAACGCAATATATTGCAGAAACCAAATATTCTATGTTTCAGAGCTTTGACCAGTTTTTACATTTTTCGTCATTATTATTAACAAAGAAAGTGTTGTAGAAAACCAAAATTTATGATATACTGTCCTAAAATCAACGTGTAGGCGCGATAAAATGGCTTGGCTGGCTTGAATCTATACTAGTGAACAAAGTGTTTCAATTTTTTTGGTAATGTGCCGGCAGTCAAGTAATTTTGGTAGTCTGCCGGTAATTAAAGACAAGCTATCTCCCAAAAATAACCAATATAAGTAAATTTTTTGTTTAACTGCTCTAAATAAAATTAAAGTCATCCATTAAAATTGAATAAATTTATGTTACCAGGGCTATGCTATTCCGCTCTATTCGCTGAAAAGTCAAGTGTTGCAAAACAGCTAGATGTTCGAATTCCCGAAGGCAAATCACTGGGTAGCATTATGCCTCGAAACAATCCAACGTCGTATTAAATTTAACGAAAATCTAACCCGATTTCAAATTTTGTATTTAAATGTTCTATGTTTCAAAGATTTTACATCTTATTAAACCGCGTACAGATGTTACTATCCAGAAAGCTCCGTCGCATCTCAAAATTTACCTCGCAGAGTACGCAGATGAGCACGGTGTACCGGCCCATCTTCTGGAAATCATCGATGCAGTTCTGCATTTTCGTCTCGGGATTTCGGAGGGTTTTTCAGGTTACAGTAGAACGGTGCGGTGGTCTGCGGCTTTTGTCTGGAATTTGGAATTTTTGATAAAAAACGTTTCAACGTCTTTAAGGTTTAAAAACGAAATAGCGTGGGGAATAATTAACGAATTCGTAAATTTGAAGTCTAACTTTTCTGGAAAAAATGTAGACATCAATATTAAATAAGCCACTTATTCAAAGAATCTGAATAAATTTACAGTTCAATGAAATTGGGCTCATTTCTGAAATGCAAAGAACTTCGATTAAAAAATTAAGCAAGTTTGTGCGATTTTTCGAAAGCATGTTTTAGTTTTTTTCAGGACCAAAAAACGCAAAACGGTCCACAATTGTTGGTTCTGATCTGGTGCCAAGATTTAATTAAATTTTTGATGAAACTTTAAAAAAAGTTACTTCTATTTGAGTTTGATTCAAATAATTTTGGAGGACTTCGACGGCAGCCGTTAATGTGCAGCACTTGAGGATATAACAAAAGGTGTCTCAAAAAAGGGGAGACAGCCATCGGAGCTTTATCATTATAAGACAATATCCGCGAAATTACGTTTTCTTGAAATTCAGCCTAAATTTTTAAAAATTGCTTGGAAAGCGTTTAAAAATGCTGCGTCAGCGAGATTTTTCTCGGGTTTTTTAATTTACATTCGCATAAAAAAGTGCATAAAAGCCAGACGCGGCTCGTGGTTGGTATGATAAAATGCCTGCTACAAGAATCCAGGGATTAGTATGGTAAAAACCACTCGTTGGTTTCGGATATCTGAAACAAATTTTTTGTTGGCGGCCTCGGAAGACAAAGCCCAAAAAATTAGCATCTTGATAACAAACAACTACAGGGTGTCCCAATAAAACCACCCTCTAACTGGAAGTAGAAGTTTCGGATCGTACTGAAAATTATACCATTCGAAAACCCTTGAAACGGCCAGTTTGCCACAATCTTTAAAACCATGTTTTAAACTACACCCACGCTTTTACAACCCATTTAAAAAGGTTAAGCAACGGCCTCTGCATCTAATTAACGGCTACTTCCGGTAATATGGCTTAGAGAAATTGAAGCAAATTCGCCCAAACAATTTAAGAAAATGGCTTGTAAAATAGCGGATTGAATTAAAAACATTATTTTGAAGATTGTTGCACATTCGCTGTTTCAAGGGGATGTTCAAATTTGAAAAAATGTTTCAATGTTTTAAAGCCGATGCGAAGAAATAATGGTAGTAATAGTTGTAAAAAATGCAGCTGTAAAAATTAAGCAAAAACAACTAATATACGTACGCTATACAACATCCTATATTTTTAAGGGACCGGGAAGCCAAATATGCGGCAATAATATGCCATAGTTCCGAAACAAGTACTTGTGAATCCATAGTGATCATCACCCCCCAATCAAGTGCAAAACACACAAATTCCACGGCGATACTCCAGACACCCTGGCCGCCTAAATGTTACAGTCGATACATCACACGTCCAACCGGATGGATAACGCTCGAATTTTATGTATTATTACAGCGAAAAATATTACTGTTTATCTCTGGGGTTCCGCGAAATTGATGGAATATTGGGTTCATTAAAATCTTGATAAAATAAGTGATATTAATTTGATTTAATTCAATCTACGCTGAACAGGGATTATGGGCTACAAATGAGCCTTATAGTTGCAAGATTCCGAAACATTCTTTATTATAAATATAGAGATATAGAGATAAACAGTTTTTTTTCCTCGGTTTATCTATTTTTACTATATACCAGGGTTGAAAAGCCGCTTCGCGACTTTTCAACCCTGGCCGCGGCCGAGCCCATGATATTCTGCACATTGCATAATTCGGTCGAATGTCGATGAGAATGTCGATGTCGATAATGAAAAATGCACCCTTTCCGCCGTTATATAGACTGCCGCCACTTCCGGCTTATGCTAATTAATGCCTAACAAAGAGGCTGCCCGATTTTTTAACAAAAAATGATTTTTAATGTCGAAAATAGCATAATTTGCAAAATCGGATATGCGTGCAGTCATCTCGGCTTCATTACGCACCTAATGGCGTATTATACATAGCCTAATACCCTTCCCCCTTTGAGATATCCTCCGGACACCCTGACGGAAGTTGCATGCAAATGCACACACACACACACACACACACACACACACACAAACACTATTTTTTATATATAGTATATATAGTAGGATATAGTAGGATATAGTAGGATTTCTGATTAGTGCAAAATTAATACTTTTAGAAACTGAATAAAAAACATCGAATTGGAGCTCCGGGAAATTTAATTTCCGAGTTTAACCGGGAAAAACTTTTGAGTTTGGTGAAAATTGCCGGAAAATTGCACATAATGTCGCTTACTGGGGTCCGTTTGCGCTGTCGAAAGCAGAAACATTTTTTTCAAAACCGCCTCGAGAAATCCTAGAAAATTAACATTATATTAAGCGTGTAATATTTTGATGCGGGTGATCGCTAAGGTAAAAATAGCCTAAGCATACCATCATCCACATTTCAGTCGTGTCAATTCAATTTTTTAGTGAAAGCTTGACGAAAAAATATGTCTAGAAAAATATAAAAATTTACTCAATAGGGAAGACACTATTTTTCATCCGGATGGGGAATCTCAAAGAAAAAGTATGGGTAGATATTTAGATTCTATTAATCTTCCTTTCTCTCGCTGTCTCTCTCAAACACTGTCTCCTTCTCTCTCACGCTCTCGCGCGCTCTTTCTCTCATGCTCGCTGCCCCTTAACCAAGAGCTATTGTAGGCAATACATTAAAAAAATTAAGTTTCCTTTAGCTATGTTGCTCGTGCCATTACCGGTACGAGACTGCAGCTCGGTCACTGAACTTACAATCTGCTTGGGTGGATTTGAGCGTTAAATGGTTTTACGGTAGTGATACGAGAGAGAGAGAGCGAGAGAGAGAGCGCCAGGGAGCGAAAGATAGAGTGTGATGTAGAGAGATTTGCATTGCAAGACGTGCAAAACATGTTTCAGCTAGATACGCTATTCTTTGAGTTCAAAGCTCCATAATAAGATAATGCCGTTCGGTCACAATCCATCTTTTTTCTGATACAGTTTAAGGATTTCGCGAATGCGGTAAAAGATCCGCTCAGAATAGTCAGAGAGAGACATAGAGAGAGGAGATAGAGAGAGCCAGCGAGAGAGAGCTAGAGAGAGAGAGAGGGAGATAGAGAGAGATAGAGAAAGAGGGCCTTAGGGAGGCTGATTGAGTGAGATCAGATAATCACTCCAGTCATAAAATACACCCAAAAGACGAGGAGATGTGTGCTTGTGTTGTCAATCGTACTCGCTGACCCTTTTATCTACATTCCCCGATCATCAATCAACCCCCAAGCGACACCCCCTTCCATTTTGGTTGACGTGTACGGGGTGGTAACGTGACAAATCGAATGGCAAAAAGGCGCGATCAGCGAGAAATTACAGCAAAAACCACTGCAAGTTTTTCAAGCTGAAATCAAACATACTATTATGAAACATACTATTTTGATCCCGGAAACCAGTTTTTGTCTATATGCCTCGTAAAGCAAAAGGAAGCGTTTTTATCACGTTTTTCGTAAAATTTAACTATTTTTCAAGTGGGGAAACATACAAAAATTATAAGATTTCAAAACTTGTTCGAAAATCTATATTTTTAGGTGAAAATCGCTATTTTTCTAGACGTTAATACAAATTGAAATTGATAATACAATTTTTGCATTGACGAATAGCTAAAAGCCGTTTATAGACAATTTTCTTCATTTAAATTTTTTAAAGTTCAGTTTTTTAAGTTTAAAACTCCTACCCCCGATAATGCGCAAGCACCTTTATTTTAATGACCAGAGGTTGCCAAAAATTTTTTTAAGTGTGGAGCGTCGAAAAGATTAAATCGATTCCAAGTTCGTGTTATTAAGTCTAAAACGAAGGAGAAGTCAACAATTCTTTCAGAAACATATAACTGCTATCAACAATGTTGAATGCCCGTATGGTCATTAGAGCAGGTTTCTGCTAGTTTTTTTAACATGAAAGTATGAAACATCTAAAAATCAAAACCTGAAAGTATCCGAAAGGTACCATTTGTAGTTATATCATGTCGAGCTAAAAATCCTAATCAAAAAGAAGAACGGACCTATTGTAGAAAGCAGCGCCAATAGCTCTGCTTTTCCCGGTGAAACATTAATTCCTTAAGAGTAAAAGAAAAACAAGCGATCTTATATAGATAGCAGCCTCAAAATATTCACTACACTCTAAGAAACGTTAGTTTTTCAGGAAGTGTGAAAAACGTTTCTTTAGTTCTAAGATATTTAAAACGGCTTGTTTATGGAGATACATCACGCTTTGAAGTTTAGAATTCCTAAATGATGATTGGAAACGAACCACAATTGTATTGAGCTGAATGCGGTGAAAAAGTGTTTTGGTAAAACATTTATATTTTTTTTGGTCGTCTTCCATTAGCAAAACAAATTCGGCAGAAGGAGGCGGCATGGGAACCACATAAGGTTATAAAAATTTCAATGAAATTAATTAAGTCTTAGTCTAGGGTCTTAATCTAAATTACTTCCAAAATACGGTTGACGAAATTCAATTAGTAATGATTTTGGCAGAAGGTATATTCGATTATACAAAGCATGCTGCAATTATCTAAACCATGCCCTGAAACATTAAACTTTCTATCAGGTTTGTCTCACAGCTTGGCCGGACGGCTAGTAATAAAAGTTCCCAGGAACGGCGTTACAAAATTCAATTCTTAATTATATTGAGCTGAATGAACAGAAAAAGTGATTTGGTAAAACATTCCTGTGAAACCACAAATTTTAAAAATTTCAGGGAGGTCAGGAGTCTTCTCGATAATTGGCATATAATATTTGGTATAGTTATTTAATTATTTATAACAACTTTTGAGACATCATTTTTCAAGGAATACCCATGTTATAAATTCAAACCATTTCGCAATTAACAAAATCCTAGAAACGGCTGTAAA